AATCCACACTACGACAATATGTGCAAAAGAATAGAGTCAATACAAAAACAATTTTTGATATATGCTCTGAGGAGAATGGCCTGGAATGATTTTAGACTGCCAAAATACGAACACAGACTACTATTTCTGCAAATGATTACTCTTGAGGAGAGACGCAAGATGGCGCAAGTGTCTTTTATTTTCAAAATTATTCACGGAGATTTAAGGTCAACTTATGTTTCAAACAGTATGAAATATTATGTTTAGGCACATGACACCAGAGCAACACCACTATTTGATTTACCAATTAGGAGAACTGATTACACAAAATATGAGCCAATAAATTATTTGCTTACAACATTCAACGATTTTTATGCCAACAAATTGCAAAACAGTGATAAAAGTATAATTGATTTAGAAATAAATTTATCAACAGTTAAACAAAGAATAGAAAATTATTTAAAGCAAAACAGATAAATACAAAATGTTTGTTATGGATTAGCAGTTGCAAAATTAATTTATGAGAATTATATTATTTACATGTAAGGAGAGAAGCAATAATTTTTCAGTTACACTCTCAAAAATGCTTGATAAAAATTGAATTATATTGTGTTATATTTATTTAATTAAAATATTTTCAATAAACCACCAAGGCGAGGGAACGCTGTTCGGTGCAGTTATTATTATTAATGTAAAAAATGCCGCATAGCTTATATCCCTAAAAATTCTTGTCTTCACGATATGGCATTTTTTAGTGCAAATATGGCAAAAAATGGCCAAAAATGGGAGTTTTAAAATTTAAAGTATTTTATGGGCCAAAATGTGTTCCAATGACTCTGTAAATATGCTCTGTGACTGGCCAAACAAAATTGAACAAAATATCGACCGTTTTTAATGGCTATCCCACCAAAAATTCGGCCAAATGTACCAATATTCGATTTTCACAAAAATGTCTAGATGTATGAAATATGAAATTTTAACCACAAATAACTACATGTTTGATAGTCTCCTCGCATAAGATCGATAAAATACCGAATCCCACCAGGCCAGAAGGTGAACTATCGTCGAGAGAGGTGCATGCGGTTAGTCACAAATAAAATTAAAAGAAATCTACAAAAATGTTAGTATTGTATAGATGGCAAACTATGTAAAAATGGCAAAAAGGCATATTCGTTGGGAAGGTCTTAAAGTAAGCTCTCGAGTGGTGCCAATTGCAACTTAAAAATGTCGTGTGGGGGTGGCCAAATTGGCAAAAAACCAAAAATTTACCGTTGGCCGCACACATAACGGCCATTTTTTCGAAAAAGACTGCATATGTTCCCTTGAAAATTTCATCAATTTAAGCCCCAAGTCAAAGATAAAAAAATATGCATACCACTCACCACAGAAAAAACCACTTTTCCCCATTACGAACCACAACCACAATTTATATGATTTTGATCCAAAAATAACCTAAAAATCCATATTTTCATTGTTTTTGAAAAGATTCCAATTCATGTTTCTTGAATCTTTAACATTGAAAATAGCGCTTACAAAACTATTGATATCAATTAAAAAACCTCTATCGAGGTGAAGAACGAGCGACGAAACCAAAATTTAAAACACAAAATTTCTGATATCAATTTTGTGACGAAAATAGTTGGTAGATATATTTTCTGTGTACTGTGAATATAAACTTAATATACATTTGTAAATTCGGAACGTTGCTTCATTGCATCAGTATGAACTCAAAGTAAAAAAGAGAGAATTTCTGAAACGTTTCGAATATACAAATGTATAATATATCTACCAACTATTTTCGTCACAAAATTGATATCAAAAATTTTGTGTTTTAAATTTTAGTTTCGTCACTCTTTCTCCACCTCGATAGAGGTTTTTTATTTGATTACAAAGACCTACAACACTCATTCATGGGAAATAAATTTATCAAATTGTAATGGAAATTCTATTATGGATTATTCAAAATGCACACTAACTATATTTAACTTGAAGTTCACTTAATTATAATCATTATTTTCAGAATCAACAACCAATACAAGGAACATTGCGTTCTGTCCAAGATCAAGCACGAAACTCTCGCCCGTAAGCTTTAGGTATTGTGGAGGATTTCATCAAGGTCTTATTATAGCTACTTTTAGTAAGTATTTAAATTTAATTCTGCAGTGCTAACATTTTATTCATTTGGTTTATTTTGGTGAAAAATCCCAAATTATTAATATTTGTTCCTTTCTATTTTACAGAGTACTTGAATATACAATGCAGTCAATGCAGGTATATTGAATTTTTTTAAAATTTGACTTACGATAATTAGTGACTGGCATCATCGCTTGGCGAATCGTGACTTCCCAGCTTTTTGCAAGATGAGCACCAATACCACTGTCTGCTGGGGGAATTAAAAGAGGTTCACCAACTTTGTAACTTAGCAGAGGGTCTTGTCCAACAAAATAGTCTATGTTTGTAGTACGAATTTGGAAGCAATGTGATTCTTTTTCACTAAGATTTCGCGCAGTATCGATTGAAATGATCTCATTTAATGGAATCTCTTTAAAGTATTTACTTCCATGATTTGATATAAACAGTACTATTGCTTTTGAATCTAATCGCCAGTAATGTCTTTTAACCGTTCTATCCTTGTTTGTATGGTGAACTAGCCAACCTTCTTTAATGACTTGTCCACTTCGCCGCTTCGTGTGTTTCACTGATTGAACAATTCGCATTAGAGGAATATTTGCACTATTTGAAAGTGGCTGAACGCAATCTGTAGGTATATGTTCATCACTTGGGGCATCAATATTGACAATTTCATGATATATTGAGCCATTCAAAATAATAGAAGATGCAATACTTTGTCTATTGTTATTGGGAGATTCTTCATTATCACTATCATTTAAATCATCTTTTATATATACTTCACTTTCACTACTAATGCTACTGTCATTCGGTTCCCTTGAACTTAATTCTTTTTCACCCGGACAATCTTTTGGCACTTTATCGATGCATTTTTTATGAGCATTATACTGACAATCTTTACATTGAACGCCTTGTTTAAAAATTCCGCGTAAAAGTTTTTTGCAGAACTGACAAATTGTTGGCCTTGTATAAGTATGAACTGAGAATGTATGTGGAATTTTACGCTCTGTCAGTCCTATTCCAACTCGACTTTCTGCCGACGACGATCGATTCGAGTGATAAGTAGGCATTTGCTGTGTTCATACAAAATAAATTGAACAGAAATAAAAGAAAATACGAATATATGTTTTAATTCAAAATACATAAAAAGTTTACGATCTGATATATTCTATGATTAAACAACAAAAATACACTTCAAATGTCATTTCTTTGTCTCTCTTTTCGGATATAATATAAACGATTTCGTAATATTTTCGTATTTTCAAAATATTTATTTGCATTTATAAACATTTAATTTAAAACATATTAACTATAATGATTTTGTTTTGCATTTGACGTATTCAGAATATACCAGATCAAATGTTATAAATACATATTTTTGTTTGGACGGACTTATATTGAGTTGTCGTATATTAATCGTAATTCATAATATTCGTAGTTCATACTTTTTTGTTCATCTAATTTCGAATATCATTCATAAGTTGTGCCATCTTTCTTACCAATGATGATCCGGCTGTAGAACTTGAACTATCATCACATGTTGAAGCAAGTGAATTATTACTTGAAGTTGCTGAAGGTCCGCGAGGAGGCTGAAGTGACGATACACGTCGGGATGGATCGGCTTTACTACAATTATCCGGGACCTTATTTACCTAGGGTTGGAAAAAATGGAAATTAATCAATAAGTAATGGAACAGATCTGAATATGAAATTATAAAAGAAAGTATATAGTTTAAGCGCAAAATTATTGACAACAACATTGCTTTAATTTGATATTTAGTAGTAGTAGTAGTAGTTGTTCACTGTGGAAGAGAAAAAATTGTCATTAATATGATTACTAATATGATGATTACTATAATGTACTTGAATCACGAAACCGCTACTTTTAGCTTAGACAACTAAAAGTGTATGGTTGTCTGTGCATGCCAAGACCGTTTGTGGGCTTTTTTCACGGCGAAAATGTTGATGCATGGCTACTTTTTTCAATATACACAACGTCTTGTAGATCATGTTTCGTAACGCATTAACGTATCTCGATCCCAAATAATGGTGAAAAAATTTCCTTTTGTTCTATCCAAGCGTTGACGATGATTTCCGGCGGTGAATTCAAAATGCATTCTATCATTTGACGGGTGCTTCTTCGACTTGTGGATTTGATCAAACCATGTAACTGGAACGACTGTACAGTTGAGGCAAACTAGAAAACTGAAAACAAAATAATAGAAAGCCCATTAATATTAGATATATACATATTATGAAACAAATTATTCTTTTTTTTTTCAATCAACAACAACAATAACAACACTTACCGGTCTTTAATGATTCTGCTCTCTGGCTTATGGTATTTCGGTTTTTGAGGCGCACAATGACAACGGCTGTAAGTCGTTGATGTTCGGAACTCATCCACATGCACTAACAGTACATAGTAGTTCAATGTAGCGATAAGGCCTCTCAAGGGTGTTCTTAGGTTCCCTTTTATTGGTGAATTTGCGGCAAATCTTGCATTGGCCACTGCGTAAATAATTGGTCGATCCTCACGGTTTGGGATTTCCTTCGCCAAACTGGTAATTTCCTTTACTATAACATGATAACTTTTTTGTTGGTCAAATAACTTTTCGTATTTCAATCGTGTAACACCGACTTGATATTTCACCATCATGGCAAAAAAAAACTAGTAAATAAACTTAGGAAATTCGTGTTCAAATTTTGTAAGCCACAAAATAACAAATAATAAAAACAACTCACTTGACACGATTCGTTGAATACTTGGTAATCCAGAAATCTCGACTTTTGGGCGATGGTCACTCTGAGTACTTCGTGAGATCTTCGCGAATTTTGGCACACTTTTTCTTAAATTGGCCGATTTAGCGATAGAGTTTTCCTCGCCTTCTGTAAGTGTCGACCCCTTTGTGCCATTGCTTAGATGTCAATCGATATGATTATATCCGATATCGAACAGCGATATGACAATTACCTTTTTTTGTTATTGCTGACGTATTTCGCTGCACCATGTTGTCGCTGTGACGTTATTCCGTTACTATTGTGTGTACAACAGCTCATCTCTCTACTACCAAAACTCAATTTTGTCAGCAATCTGTTTGCTGTTGCGACTGTGTGGTAAAACTATATAGTTTCTTACATTCTAATGGTTTTTCAATCACCTCGCACTCACTCAGTCATTCATTCAGCCGGACACACACAAATTTTCTCTCTCTCTTTCTATATCACATACATTTCTATATCATCATCATCATCATCATCATCATCGTCATTGTCATTTGAAAATCTCATAGTCCATATTATAGAATTTATGTTAATGATGATAATGGAAAATCAATCGAAGGAATGGATCAGGAATTGTAAAGTAATGGAATAGAAATTTTTAAATAAGTTGGTCTTGATATTTACACATCGTTTATGAAAATTCATGCAGCAGTCCTCACATTTAAGTCCTTGTCGTACTAGACCAAACAACATTTCACCACAGTAGTCACAAAATGTAGGTGCTTTATACGAGTGTACAGAAAGTGAATGTGGTCGAATTGTTGGTATATCATCATGATTATTCGCATAAATTATTGCTGAAAAATGCATTTGTAAATATTTAATATTAAGAATAAATATTGTCTTATTTGATTATTAAAAAACATAATGCAAAATATTAAAAAAATGTGAATTTTTCATCCAAAATATAAATATTTCACTGAGCTAGAAGATCATTTTGCGATTATTCTAAAAATAATAAAATATTTTAGATACATAAATACTAACGGGATGAAGTTAAAACAATTTCAATCAATGTTTCGTCCACTACATCGGCCACTGAATTCACCAGTTGCAGTATGTTTGGGCTTTTATAATCATGGCGAAATAAAAGTAAACGTTCTGACAGATGACTCAAACCATTATCTGGTATCTGTATGCGTGAGAAACATGGAATAAATTAAAATGAACTATATTTTTACGTTAAATGTTACTTACTTTGGAATTTATGAAATCACAAGCTAAATCCTTGAGAGATTTCAAATTTATCGTTGCTACTGGCACAGTAATCATATCGCGCAAATTGCCGAATTGAAATAAAAATGTAACCTCTACTCGTTCCATATTGTAGCTGTGAAATATTTGAAAACCTTGATTTAGTTAAAATAAATAAAAAATCAACATCGACTAGAAATCTATTTATTCTATTCTGTATAAAAAAGTTAAATTTAATTTTGTATTTTGAAAACATAATCTTTTTTAAAATAATCTTCTCAATAATGAATACAAATACCGGATTCATAAAATAATTGACTTCAAAAAATTCAAAATATTCAAAAATTTCGTTGATTTCACATTAAACCTGTTGCTTGTTTAACTCTTATAATATAAAAGGAACATCTTGTAAATTTTATAAATAAATTGCATGGTCTTTTATAATTGCATCGAATCATATAAATGAATATATTCACATCTCTAATTTACAAACATGATTTATTATAATATAGAAGAAAGAACAGAATAGTTCAAGAATCATTGCTGACGTGTTGATTTTCTACGAAACAGTAGATGCTTGGTGATTTCATAAACATTTTAATAGGAATTTTTTATAGTTGATTTTTATGTATTTGGTATTGTTAAAATCGAGTAGTTCAAAAAATATGAAAACTATAGAACAGAGCGACAGATAAAATAATAATATTATAAATGGTTACATTTTTTATATTACGTAATCAATGCATCTTTCCTAAAACAAAATAAGATGCGATATTTTACATTTCACAAATTCGAGTTGTTTTTTACAGTGTTTTTCATATTTTATAAAACCGATAGTATTGTGGAATACTATATCATGTAATAAATAAATAGTTCAATTTCTAATGATTACTAACACAAACAAAAACACTCTTTGTATACATCATTTGTTACTTCATTTAAATCGTTTGAATGCGTTTACGTTCATTTTGATTTTTTGAATATAAAAGAATAATATAGTAGTGCATTTAGTTCTAGAATAATTGTTTCATAGTATTCGAATAAACGTGGATTAGATGTATTACCTTTAATTGAAGTATTTTCAATTATTCATTTCTCATAAATCATTTGTTCTTTTTTTCTTAAGAATTTGAGCATGTATATAAATATATTAAGAGAAAGAAATCTTTTCATGGAGTTTCCACTACATAAATTTGCTTACAAATACATATATGCAAAAATACATAACAATAATCTCAGAAAAAACCCACCTTTATTGTCTTAATTTTTAAAATCTAAATGTATAAGAAAGTTAATTTCTTGGAATGTCTATTTCAAATAACACCGAATAGATTCTAGAAATTATAGTGAAAATACCGTAAATTGCACAAGACACTTCAAAATTTATTACGTTTTCATTCCGATAAAATATTTTAAGAGATGATACAAATGAGTTCGAACGAACAATTTTAAATAGACAAATTAATATTTTAAACTATATATTTTAACAGCGTTTTCCAATGTTTTTTGATGAAATTCCACATCAGTTGTTTTATTTATTGTTCATCGTTTTACGCTTACAATGCGATTTATATTCTAATTGGATAAATATTCTCTTCACGTCGTAAACTTTTGTGTTTAACAATGCTACTATCCAGATTGATGCCAAAGCCTGCACGTGAACGCATCTGAAATTTCACGATATGCTACGCTATCAAGTGGTGAAGAAATATGTGAAGATGTGTGAAGATGTTATTATTATATATTAAGAATTTAATTTTCATGTATGTATTGAGTTCCATTGGCTGAACGTACCTAGAGCTGATCAGAAGAAAAGAATGGAAAAAATGGAAATAATCAATGGAAGTTATGAAACAGAATGGAAAATGAAATTATAAAAGAAAGTATATACTTTATAGTAAATTAAAGTATATACTTATAGAGATTTTGTTGTATATTAAGAGAAAAAGAGAAAGAATACGCAATGAGAATTGATGGTGAGCGGTAATGAAACAAATTGCAATCAAACTTACTCCTAAAAAAAATGGCCAGCTGATTACTTCTTTTTATGGTGCTGCTGCTGCTCGAATCTGACGATTTCGACGATCGTCTTGATTCGGCACATTCAGACGGTTCGGTTTATTCGGTTAATTTGCAGGATTTGCAGGATTCGGTCAATTTAAACGATTTGTACGGTTGATTGGCTTTTAAGAATGTTCGAGTGTAATTTCTTCTATCTGGACCAAGTCTCCTACGATATGTATGATGCAAAATTGCAATGTATGTACAAAAATTTCAATGTGGGGTGGCCAAATTGGCCAAAAACCATTACCGTTCGGCCGGACACATAACGTACATTATCTCGAACACTAGCCTAACTTGGTGTATTGAAAATTTCACCGATTTTAGGCCTAAATCTAACCAGTAAACATATCGAAGTGTTAATAAAAGTTTTAAATTTCCTTAGTACAGATCGATATAAAGTGGCGAAAAAATAAATTTGTTAAAATGAAAGGGACCCGTTCGGGATATTGGGGGCAGGGGAGTACCCCACCATGTCAAACTTTGGTCGGATAAAAAAATAATGTTCTACAAAGTTGTTCAGAATGACGAGAGAAATTTTTTACGACCCCTGCCCTCCAATTCCCCCCACCCCCTTGGGGGTTGGGGGTCATAACTCCTTCACCCATGATTTGTTCGGGGCGGGGGTCAAAATAATATAAAAATGAACCCTTGCCCTTCGATTTGGGTCATTTAGGGCGGCCAAAACTATATACCAATGGAAACTACATTGATATGCGTAAATTTCATGGGAGAAAACACGTATGCCCATTTGAGTCATAAGGGGTGAATACGAGGGTTGCTCCATAATTTTTTTTAAAAACATATATAACACAGTTGTTTTTTGTCGAAAATGGTTTTATTGTTTTTCAAAATATTCCCCGAGATGATCGATACACTTTTGCATTCGATGAAACCATTTGTCATAGCATTCGTGCCACTCCGAAACTGATATCTCCAAAACGTGTGTTTTGAACGCTTCAACTGCTTCTTCTGGTGTCGAAAATCGTTGACCACGTAGTTTTTTCTTCACGCTTGGGAACAAAAAAAAGTCATTGGGTACCAGGTCAGGACTGTACGGTGGATGACCCATCAGTTCGATGTTTTGACCGGTCAAAAATCGAGTAGTTTGAAAAGATGTGTGAGAGCTCGCATTATCGTGATGAAGAATTATTTTGCGACGGTGGTTGTTTTTTCTTATTTCACCAAACACTTCGGGCAAACAAATGGTGGTATACCAATCAGAATTGACGGTCTTACGATCCTCTAGTGGAACGGTTGCCACATGACCACTTCTCCCGAAAAAACAGGCGACCATTCGCTTCGAAGTGCTTCTTGCTCGAACAACTTTCGTTGGGTTATCTTCATTTTGGAAGACCCATACAGTCGACTGCTGTTTCGTTTCGGGCTCATAGGCATATATCCACGATTCGTCACCAGTGACGATTTTATTAACGTCTTTTGAAGCACCACGATTGAATTTCTTGAGCATTTCTTTACACCAACTCACACGAGCCATTTTTTGTTCATCGGCCAATTTATGTGGGATCCAACGAGAGCAAATCTTTTTTACGGCTAAGAGTTCATGCAAAATTGTATGTATGCTGTGGGATGAAATGCCCAAAGATGCCTCAATCTCACGGTAGGTCACATGACGATCTTCCATAATCAGTTTTCTGACAGCATCGATGTTTTGTGGCACAACAGCCGATTTTGGACGACCTGTATGAAACTCGTCTTTGAGCGAACTACGACCGCAACGGAATTCTCGGTACCAGTTATAAATTGTCTGAAGGGTTGGTGCTTCATTGCCAAAGGCCAAATGAAGTCGATCGAAACACTGTTGTTGAGATAATTTACTTCGAAAATCGTAGTAAATCATTTTACGAAAATCTTCACGTGTAAAATTCATTTTTTTGTTGAGTCGCAGTTTACCAGTCACTGTAAACAATACAAATAGCGTTCGTACGACAAAAGGTTCAGGGCACGAATACATACCAAAACATCAAACTTTACGAATATGACAATGGTTTACATCGGGCAACACTATAAGTACCATTTTAAAAAAAAATATGGAGCAACCTACGTATCCCATTGTAAAGTTACAAATAAATGGAGTATTTTTATTTTCGACCCGAATTAAAGGTACAAGCTAGAAGGAGTAAATTGTAGGTCAAGGGAGATTGACAATGTATGGAGCCTATAGGTAATTTTTTGGGGTTAGATTGGGCATGGACCCAATTTCGGGGTATTTTTCGAAATGTTCGTGAATTTTGTAGGGGGGCCCCCTTGGGGGTGAGGGAAGAGGGTGCCCAATGGCCTAAATGAAATGTTTACATAAAATTAGTTATAGTTGGCCATACAGTTGAGTGCGAAATTCCGCACCCAAAAAGTGAAAAATCGACTTTTAATAATTTTACCCTAATGGGGGGGCTCTGAATTGTTGGGAGACTTGCGGTGAATGGGCTCGAGACGAATATCATTTCTAGGGTATTTTGGGATGCTGATTCTGAAAATCGAGGTTTCGGCCCGAAAAAATCATGGGTGAAGGAGCTATGACCCCAACCCCCAAGGGCTTGGGGGACTTGGAGGGCAGGGTTCGTAAAAAATTTCTCACGCCATTCTGAACAACTTTGTAGAACATTATTTTTTGATCCGACCAAATTTTGACATGGTGGGGTACTCCCCTGCCCCCAATATCCCGAACGGCCCCCCCTATTTTCACAAATTTATTTTTTCGCCACTTAACATCGATCTGTACTAAGGATATTTAAAACTTTTATTAACACTTCGATATGTTTACTGGTAAGCTATAAAACGCCACATAGCTAAATTCCCTAAAAATTCTTGTCTTCACGATATGGCCTTTGATAGTGCTAAAATGGCCAAAAATGACAAAAAATGTTACTTCTAACATTTGAAGTATTTTATGGGCCAAAATGTACTCCAATGAAACTGTAAATATGCTCTGTGACTAGCCAAACAAAATTGAATAAATTATCGACCGTTCTGGATGACTATTCCACCAAAAATCGGCCAAATGTACCAAAATTCGAATTTTCACAAAAAAGTCTAGATGTATGAAATATGAAATTTTAACAACAAATAACTACATGTTTGATAGTCTCCTCGCATAAGATCGATAAAATACCGAATCCCACCAGGCCAGAAGGTGGACTATCGTCGGGAGAGGTGCATGCGGTTAGTCACAAATGAAATCTACAAAAATGTTAGTATAAATGGCAAACTATGCAAAAGGTCATGCAAAAATTGCCATTATTTCGTGCGGTCGAAGAGATTTATCACACAGCTATTATGAAATTCCGAATACAAATAGCTGATGTCGAGGCTCGGGAATTGAGGAAAGAAAGAGAAAGAACGATTCGACAACGGTGTAGTGCGGTAGCGCAAGCGTCGCACTCATTACGCATGCTAATTAATATTAAATAAATCAGTTCAGTTCAATTTCAGACATACATAGAACCACACGTCTTTGTTGTACTCATTACAATTCCTTAGGTACACCACCACTGTAAGTACCATAATACATATCATAATATATCTTATAACGGCAGATAATGAAAGAGACAGTGAGGGTGAGCGGAAAAAGCGATCAAATTGGCGCTTAAAGTCTGAAGTTCATCGAGCCGAAAATGAGACAAAACCTTACTTATCTCAAAAATCACACGGTCGTTCACCCCAACCTCACTTTTCGAATCAAACACGAAGTAGTGAATCACAACCTCACTTTTTAGCGAAACCACATGGTCGAAAAACACAACCTCACTCTTCGGTAAAAGTACATGGGCGGTCAACATAACCTTATTCTTCAGTGAAAGCACATGGTTGGTCAACAAAACCTCAATTTTCGGTGAAACCACATGGTCGAAGAACACATACTCACAAAATGCAAGAAAAATGTGCTGAAAAAACACAACCTCACAATTTGCCAGAAAAACGTGGTCGTCAAAACACAACCTCACAAATCGTCAAAATTTCGTGTACGTGATGCTCGTGAGCATTTGTGGTTATTTATAAGAGCGGTTAAACGACATTCTTCGTTCAAAGGTCATCAAGTGCGGACGCATTTAGCTAGCGACATTTATTATGTTTAATTGTTTTTCCATTTCAACGATTGAATTCACGTTGAATACTTTAAAGTGATTTTTATCGAATTTGTTTTTTTTAAATCATTTTCATCTTATTATAAGTGTGTTGAATAATATGTTGAATATTTTGTAATAAGAGTGCTGGACTTTGAACGAGCATAAATTTCGTCAATATTTTGAAACATTTGTGCAGAATTCTCCGGAAATATTATTTTAAGCGGATTTCTTCGGAAATATTATTTTGGACAGATTTTCGGGAACTATCGTTCGGAGCGAAATTTTCGAAATTATTACTTATGCGGAATACTTGGATATTATTATTTTAAGCGGATTTCTTCGGAAGTATTATTTGTGCAGATCCTTCGGGAAAGCGGAATTCCTCGGAATTATTATTATTAGCGGATATATTTGAGCCGAACATTAATGCTTAATAAAGCTTACATGTTGATATTTTTGAGCTGAACGTTGGGTTGAAAAGCGAATTTCTTCTCCATCTTATATTTGAAACATTGGCGCCTAGGGGGATTCCGCGCTCTTAACCCTCCGTTGTACACATATCCGGCGAGT